GGACGGAGCCCTTAACCTGTGGGATCTGACTCTGTCTCAGGTAGACAGTGTCAGAATTAAATTGAATTAGAAGAGGCACAGCTGGTGTCTGCTGCAGAATTGATTGCTTGCTTGGTAGGTGGGGGAAATGCCATACACATCTGGTCACAGAAGTGTTCTGAACTGAGTGTTGAATAGGAGACACTGAGGTTTTTTTATTTTTATTTTTTCAGGTTGGTATTCTACCCTCTGAAACACTAATCCATGACCATGTGCGTACATCTTAATGTTTTAATTAATGTAATTTCTCCAATCAAGGATGCTCTCAACCCTTCTCTCCATTTACTTAAGTTCTGCCTTCTTCATCTTTCTTAGGACCCATCAATCATTCTATCCTTTAATTAGTTCAGCAGAAATATGATATCATTCTTACAGCAGGGATTTCATGTATCTGTCTGCCTCTAGAAAGAAGTTGCCATGCGGGTAGTATCTTGGTGTTTCCTAGAGCACAGGAGAAGATCAAGAGCCTACCATGTGTGTGGCACTGGAGGTGCTGAGGACTAAGACAGTCAGTTCTTTCTCTTGGCAATCTCTTCATCTAGGGGAAGACTGACATTAAAAAAATGAATCACAGCATATGAAATCCCTGCATTGATGAAGACAGGAGAAGAGCAAAGAGCCAGTTCTTCTCTGAGAAGGAAAGAAAGGACACCCAGAGCAGGTGATTTTTGAGCTGAGTTTCTGAAAGAACAAATAGCACCTCTCTAGTTGTATAAGATGGATCCTAAGGAGGAGGAAAAGTGTGTACAACGGTGTGGACACATCAAGATGCAGGGGTTCTTCTGGCTGAGCGAGGTGTTGGCTTGCTAGAATGTAGGCTTCATTCATTGATCCACATATTTATTCAACAGATACTGAATAAACCTAGAATGTGTCAGCAATGTGCTAAATGCAGAGGATTCAAATGTGAGCAAAACAGATCTAAGATCACTCACTATCCTTGTGGAGTCTGAAACCTAGGAAGTTGGGTGTAGTGGGGTATACTTGTAGTCCCAACTACTCGGGAGATGGAAGCAGGAGGATCCATGGAGCCCAGGAGTTATTTAAGGTTAGCCTGGGCAACCTATTGAGACTCCAATTAGAAAGAAGAGAAAGAAAGAAAGAGAGAAAGGGAGGGAGAGAGTGCGAGGGAAAGAGGAAGGTTCATCAGGGACTGCAGCTGATCACAAAGCTCTAAAGCACATATGAAGGAGGAAGGAGGAAAGGATAACCAAGCATGCCAGGGAGGAGTTGGGGGAGTGGGCTGGGCTAGACTGTAAGAGACCTCTGATATCATGCCAGGGAGAAGGAAACCCCCTCCCGTCTGTTACTAAGTCCTGCCTCTCCCTCCTCTGGGATAACTCTCAATTTTGTTCAGCCTTCCACCATTCTTGACACAGGCTACCATTGCTTCCTTAAATGAATGGGACAGTCTTCTAAAAGTGATCCTTGCTTCTCACCCCTTCCCCACATCGTTCCCAATGCAAACAGATAATCTTTTAAAAGAGAAAATCTGCTATCATATTATTCCCTATAGTAGGCAGAATTCTAAGCTGTTCCTGTAATCTCCTGGCTTTACTCTGGTGATAACACAACATTGTGAAGCAAAAGGGATTTTGCAGATGTACTTGAGGTGACTAATCAGTTGACTTGAAGATAGAGAGATTATCTGCCTCATGAAGCTAGTCTTTTAAAAGTAGAGTTTTCTCCAGCTGGTAGCAGAAGAGGAGGTGGGAAAGGTTGGAAGCAAAGGAGGGATGGATGGATTTGACCTGCCATTGCTGATTTAAAACAGGTAGGGGGTGTTCCATGGGAAGGACCGGAGAGAGGCCTCTAAAAGCTGAGAGTTTTCTGACAGCCACCAAAAAATAAAAAATAAAAAATGAATGGGGGCTTCAGTCCTACAACTGAAAGCACCTGGATTCTGGAAACAACCTGAATAAGCTTGGAAGTAGATTTTCTCCAGAACTCAAACCAGCCAACACCTTATCTTTAGCCTGAGACACTCTGAGCAGAGGATGCAGCAGCCATGCCAAGCAAGACCTGCGACCTATAGAACAGCAAAATAATACATGGGTGTTGTTTTAAGCCACTAGGTTTTTGGTAATTTATTATATAGCAACAAAAAAACTAAGGTACCTTCTAAGTCTCCAAACCTCCAGTAAAATTCTATGGAGTTACTAGGTCCAGGAATTTAATCCTCACAACAGTGCTATTAGGCAGGAATTTTTATTATTATCATTTTATAGATGACAAAACCAAGGCTCAGATTAAATACTTCTCCTAAACTCACAGCTAGTAAGTAAACAACCAGTCTGACCCCAGTGTTGCTACTCAATGGCTTCTTCTTGTTCTTAGGGTAAATTCAAATAGAAAAGCATGGAAATAAAATCCTTTCGTGCTTAACCATCATTGCCTGCTAGACACTCCTCTCACTGAAACTCCTTACAGCCCCAGTAACTGCCATGTTTTCTTGATTCCTTGACTTTACAAGTTGATTCCTTCTGTCTGGATTGGGGCTTGCCCCTGTCTTCCATCCGTTTTTCCTTTGGCAGGCTCAAATGGTCCTTTGGGTCTTTTGGAAGATGCTATTTAAAGTGGGACATCTTCTTGATCCTCCCAGATGAGACTGGATTCTACTACAGTATGCAGGTAGGTTCCTCTTGCACCTTATGTTTTCCCCTATTAGAAAACAGAAGACACTGTGTTAGAAATGTTTATTCAGCTGTACTCATCACTAGATAGTGAGATTCCTGCAGGCCAGTACTGGTGATTTGTTTATCATCAAAGCTTTAGCATAGGACCTGGGGCATAGTAGGAACTCAATAAATATTTACTGCATGAATCAGTGAATTGACACAAGTGCTTTTATCCAAGAAGCAATGAGAAGCCATCCAAGGTCTTGAAAGAAGGGAGTAAGCTTATAGATCTTTGTTCACAGGGCATATACTTAAAGCAAGTCTTTTACACAAGAGACTGTCCTCATCAGCTGAGGATGAAACAAGTTCACTGGCATTGTGACACTGGCTTTCTTGTGCTCTGAAACTTGGCTCTTACCTCTTCTGAGCCACATGGATTTTCTGGATACTAGAATATGTCAGAAACCGCCATGGTAGTGTCCTCGGTTTCCCCTTAAAGAAGCAGGACACATAAAAGAGTTTATAACTTGGGTCTGGGCCTCATACTTCCACCACAATCAGGAGTTTCCCTGTTAAGAAGGCTGTGGGAAGCTGAGGCTCTTTGGAAAGCAGCAGACGTGACCTGCGGAGAACTGGGAGTGGCCTCTGAAGGTTCCGCTCCAGTGGCGAACATTTCCTACCTAAACTTGACCGATCCCTCAGTCCCTTTTAGTTCTGCTTATATATGCAAATCTTGCTTCCTGTCAAGGAAGAGTGGAAGATCTTTTGCTCAGATTCTGAGCTTACACCTCCTAGGTGGTCTTACTAAGGCGATTACAGCGTCTCTGTTAGAGATTGCTGAATGCCTCAGTTTCCCAGTTTGTGCAAAGTGCACTCCCCAGAATACGCTTCCCTGAAGGACCAGGGCCACATTTAGGGGCGCCTGGAAGGTGAGATAGTTTGATCAAGACACATCCAGTCACCTCTAGATACAAGGGGAGGAGGCAGTGGGTGGACAAGCAGAGCTAATACCTTGTAGAGGTGCGGAGAGGTCCAGAGTTCTTCCTCGCACCCGCTCGCGAAAGAGCTGCAAGTTGGACTTAGGACGCCAACAACTCCAGCGAGGGACAGACTCGCGCGGCGAGGCTGGGAGGGGCGAGTCTGGGCGCCGCGCCTCTGGTGCTCCGGGCGGGCGGGAGCTCTGGGCGCTGGGGCGGGAAGGGGTGGAGCCACATGGGGAGGAGCAAAACCCGGAGGCCTCGGGCACGGTGGGCAGAGCCAGAGCTGCAGGAACCAGAACCCCGGCGCGCGGCCTCTGGAACGCTGGCCGTCTGGACCGAGTACAGCATCTCCCGCCCGCGCCGCCGGAGCCTGCCTTCGGTGCGCAACCAGGGAGAAAGGCCGGCGCCGCTGGAGACCGGGATCACAGATTCTTCTTTAATCTCAGAGCTGCGGGCAGTTGGTGCTGCCCCTGCCGCCCCACCAGGGCCGGCTAAATCTGCAGTTTGTGTCCCGTTTGCACTATGGATCCTTCGGAGAAGAAGATATCGGTGTGGATCTGCCAGGAGGAGAAGCTGGTGTCCGGTCTCTCCCGCCGCACCACTTGCTCGGATGTAGTGCGGGTTCTGTTGGAGGACGGCTGCCGGCGAAGACGGAGGCAGCGGCGGGGCCAGCGAAGGGGGATGGCCGGAGACCCTCAAGGCCCAGGGGAACTGCCAGAACCCCCGGATGAAAACGACGACGACGACGATGAGGCGCTGTCCCAGGGCATGCTGTGCGGGCCCCCGCAGTGCTATTGCATCGTGGAGAAGTGGCGTGGCTTTGAGCGCATCCTGCCCAACAAGACGCGCATCTTGCGCCTCTTATCCGCCTGGGGCGACGAGCAAGAAAACGTGCGCTTCGTATTAGTTCGCAGCGAGGCGTCGCTCCCCAACGCAGGTCCGCGCAGTGCGGAGGCGCGGGTAGTGCTCAGCCGCGAGCGCCCCTGCTTGGCCCGGGGAGCCCCGGCGCGGCCCAGCCTGGCCATGACCCAGGAGAAGCAGCGGCGGGTGGTGCGCAAGGCCTTCCGCAAGCTGGCCAAGCTCAACCGGCGGCGCCAGCAGCAGCCGTCGCCTTCTCCCTGTTCGTCCACTTCATCGTCCACTGCCTCGTCTTGTTCGTTGCCGCCGCAGGCCCATGAGAGTGCGTCTGTGGAGCGCATGGAGACGCTGGTGCATCTGGTGCTCTCCCAGGACCACACCATCCGCCAGCAGGTGCAACGGCTTCTGGAGCTGGACCGAGAAATCGACCGCTACGAAGCCAAGGTGCATCTAGACCGTATGCGACGGCATGGGGTGAACTACGTGCAGGACACTTACTTGGTGGGGGCAGGGATAGAACTCGATGGGCCCATCCCGGGCGAGGAGCCCGAGGAGGTAGCGGTAGCGGAGGAGGTACCAGCGGCGCCCCTGGACGGTGAGGCTCAGGCGGCAGCGCTGGAGGAGCTGGCCCAGCGCTGTGACGAACTGCTGCAGCTGCAGGAGCAGCGAACCCAGCAGGAGGAGTTGCTGGAGCGACTCTCCACCGAGATTCAGGAGGAATTGAACCAGAGATGGATGCGGCGGCGCAGGGAAGAACTGGCGGTGCGAGAGGAGCCCCCGGAGCCCGACGGCGGCCCGGACGGCGAGCTGCTGCTGGAGCAGGAGCGGGTCAGGACGCAACTCAGCACCAGCCTTTACATTGGGCTCAGGCTCAACACGGACCTGGAAGCCGTCAAGGCGGACTTGGATTACAGCCAGCAGCAGCGGGACAGCAAGGAGCGTGAGCTGCAGGGCCTTCTCCAGACTTTGAACACTTTGGAGCTCACCATAGTGCAGGAGGGGGCTTCTGGCCCCAGCGGACCCACGCGGGAACCCCAGCCTCAGGCCTGCGCCGAGATGTGGGTGGACCAGGCTCGCGGACTGGCCAAGAGCTGTCCTGGCAACGACGAGGACTCGGATACTGGACTGAGCTCTATGCACAGCCAGGACTCGGATTCTGTGCCTGTGTGCGAATCCCTGGTGTAGGAGAAGCAGGAAGGGAGCCAGAGACTGAAATGTCTCCCTTTCCTGCAGCAGGCATTGGACTCGCCAGCTCAGGGACCCCAAATCAGGCTGGGGTGAGCCCGGAGCTGCTGCCTGGCCTCAGGTCTCCAACCGGATCGGGGAAGGGTTGGGGATGCCTGCTGGGCACTGGCTCTTCTCTGATTACAGGGTGAGTGTGGAGGAGGGTGAAGGAGAAGGAAGCCTGGTCTGTGTTCCAAGTTCTTTTAAGAGAAAGAGGTAGTGAGGCGGTGGAAACCCCCTATATTGGAAAACTAATATAGCACTTCTCAGTCTAGGGATGCAACCTCTTCCTTCTCCATCACCCTGGGGGAAATAGACGTGGTCCAAACCCATTTTCAACACAAGAAATAAGTATTATGGAGATTTCACCACTCTTCTGTAGAGGAAGAACTGATGGCAGCTAGAACTATAGTTTGTGGCATAAAGTGCTCTTAAAAGAAACAGTTGGATGAAAAGGAAATTCCTTGAATGTTAATTGTGACTGTAAACGTGTTAAAACTAGCCAAAGAGGACGCACTGGTGTTGGTCTCAGCCTTACTTAACATCTTTGATAAAAACCCATAGGCACCAAAAACCCTGCCTGTTTACATTTCTGCAGATTGGGAATCACCCATCGGCTAAATCATTTGCCTTTTCTTTCAAAGGCTAAATTGTATGGAAGTCTAACTCTGTATTTCCTCCTAGAAAATACAGTGTAGGTTGAAAGGGGACCTTTTTTTTTTTTTCCAATATAGCCTTTTATTATTACAAAAGCCAAACATATTCTTTTGGAGATATCAAATCCTGGCAAACATAGTCCCTAGTTAAAATTTAATCTGGGCTCTTTGGGGTCTGTTCCTGCAAAGGCAGGTGTATTGTCCTTTGGTTCATGCTGCCACTTTGTTGACCCAATCACTGTTATTTCAGAAAAAAATAAAAGGGAAGTTGCAGAACTCAAGTTACACACAACTTAATTTGCTGTTTAATGAGCACTCTAGTTTAAACTAAAACTTAACAACAAAGATCTTTGCTCATGTTCAGCTTTGAACTTGAGCTATAAGATTAAAACCAACTATGACCTTCATGGATTTTACCCAAATTCAAGTCTGACTTCGGTATCTTCGGTCAGAGGTTAGTTACTTGTTCAAACTTAAATCGAGACAGTGTAAATATCAGGGTTTACTAGATAAAGGCCTCCAAACAAAAAGTAAAATAATCTCATGGTACACCTTAGGTGAACGAGTTGATTAATCATAGCACGTAGCCACAAATAAAAGCATATTCAAGTGAGCTAAGGATTTGAATTACTCTTGTCTGATGCACACCTGTGCACATGCCAGGGGAGGGTGACACGTTCTCTGTGGCCAGTGATAGAGCTGGTGGGCATTCGAGTGTAATTGTTCCAGTTATTTCAATTAAAACTTATCAGTTGTAGCGAGTTGTTGGCCGTTGTTGGCCCTGTGGAAGGAGTCTGCTGGCTGGTTTCCCTTTGGAGTTGAGTACTTCTGAGGAATGTGACTCTAATCTGTCCTGAGGAGGTATTAACAATGGGCTGTGTGTGTGGTGCCAGCATGGTGCGAGAGCCTGGTTATCAACCTAACTGTTGAGGATACTGGGGCTGGCTCCAGTTTCAACACTACATGTGAAGATAACTTAAGAGGCCTTGTTCTATAGAGAAGTTTCTTCCCTTGCAGGGACCCTCTGTGTTGCCAAAAGGAGCCTGCCCTCCTGACCTCCTCAAGCCACCATCTGTGCTGTCTCCTCCTAGAGACAGCCCCACCTTGGATACTGCCACTGCCATGGTATTACAACACGTGTGTGTGTGTTCAGAGTTTCAAGTAAAATCAGAATTAAAAGGCCATTTTCTTAATTGATGTTTTCAAAAGACCTTACTTGGCGTAATTATGGTTTTTTAGTTTCATCTGATGCAGCAAACATCTATGCATTTGGTCTCGGGCATGATTAAAATGAGGAAGGAACCCAAAGAAACCCACTGTCCTCAGACAATTATTTGATCCCTTAAACTCAAAGTCTAATGTTAGCTTTCATTTCTGAGGCAGAGGTAAAATCCTCATTAGAGTGTGACAAATGCTACTTGTCTGAATGGTTTATGCTGGCAATGGGCTGACCTGGTGGTTTTTAAATTATGGTGCTTTTCTCCCCCCAGGGTGGTAGGGGAGGTGGCTCTTGGATGTTTATTAACTTAGAAAGAACACAGAAGTTGGCAGAACAGGACTGCCTGGCAGAAAGGAGCTGTTTTCCTTTTCACTATTATTATTTTAAACTTTGATGGGCTGCTGACGTCAGCAAATATTCTTGAAGCCCATAAAGCAAACAAGCCACATCACAGGGAGAAGGCTTGTGGGATTTTCTCTGTTGCTGTCTTTCTAGAACCCTTCCCTCTCCCAACCACCTGAAGATATTTCTCTGGTCAGCTCTCCAAGCAGTGAGGAGTCTTTATGTATAACAAAGGGCTAGCCTAGCCTGCTGAGTTTTGCTTTCATCCAAATCAATTATATTCCTAAAAGGCACTCTCTGTGTGGGTAGGAGAGGGGAGAATGGGGACAGACCAGGAGGAGACAATAGGTACTTTTACGAAGAGCTTTTTGCAAAACCTTGCAAAACTGAGAAAGATATAGGTATAAAAAGCACCAAAACAGTGCTTGTGTATAGGAAGTGATAAGTAAATATTAAATAAGTTTGGTTTCATTCACATGCACTGGGCATGGGAGCAAGTGCATAAGTGAAGCTCCAGCCCCTGATGTCAGCGACCCTGGGATAAGTGGCTCCTGTGTTCTCCAGGCCTCCCCAAAATCCTGCGAGGAACCAGCAAGCTCTGGGGGAAGAGGAGGGAGTGCAGGTTCCACACCAGCCAGTCCCATGCTTTTTTTGGAACTGAGACAATCAATTGTGTATTGATGTGAATTATCCCATTCTTGGCCATCTCCCAAACCCAGAGATTCCATATGACATCTCTATGTTTGTTTTTTCTCCTACATAGAATATGTTTATTATTATATTTACTATCAGAAAAGTTCCATAATCTAGTCCTTGCGACAAACCTGAAAGTAAGATGAATACCAAAAATAAATAAATAAAAGTTACCCTAAATCTCTCACCACCAAAATCCTGTCACTTCCAAAGTTTGACATTTTTTCTTAGGGACTTTTTGAATTTTGAAGAGTTCATATTTTGCTCTGTTTTTAAAAATAAAATTTTAATAAGATTGCCTATATCCTATGATACTCAGGTTGTGACAGACTCCTTCTAAACAGATCCATTCATCTGGTAAGTATACCCTAGTTTATTTAACTGCTCATGTTATCAGGTTGTTTCCCATACTTTTTTACTATATAAAATAATATCATGATAAGCTTTTTTGTGCATGTGTCTGTTTCCTAATTAGTCTCCTTCCATCCCTCCCACAAGAGCCCTAGAGAGACAATTCCAGACCAAAGAGTACAAGCATTTAGAGGCTTGATATTGCCAAGTTACTTTTCCAAAGACTTATTCTAATTGCAATAATCAAAATTAATTAATTACTCCTTTGTGGCCTCAGGAAGATAGGGTGGACAATCACTGTCTTAAAATATATTTACAGTAGCAAGCATGGTCAGCTGATAAGAACTGTTAGGGGGTATGGTATTTTCTCTCTTTTTTTCCCCCTCTGTTCCCTGAGCACCTGCTTAAGGTAACAGTAGTCTGGGCTCTCATTAGAATTGGCCAGTGATCTAAAAGGAGGAGGGACAAAATCTCCACATTAGCAGGATTAATGAGATGGCAAATATAAGTGTATTTATATAGAGAAAATATTCATTTTATATATATATATATATATTTTTTTGTCTTTAGTGGAAATGTTTTTCTAAGGAGATAGCAACATAAAACATTTGTGTATTTCTCACCTAGTTGTTAATCAGCAGTCTCTAGCAGCTTAGGTTTTTCCTAGAAATTTCTTTCTAGATACAACACTGCACTTGAGCTTATTCTTAAATTCTTGAAAAGGGAAGATTTGATCATGGCAGTCTGTGAAATCTACACTGTGAAAATATTTGCAGAATTTGTTTCCCTAAACAAAAAGGAAGGAAGATGAGGATCCCATTTTCCTTGAGTGTTTCCCAAATGCCAGATCCTTGTGCTGAGTATTTACGTGTGCATTTTTTTTTCTGCATTCTTCTTGTGTGACAGAACTTTTTAACCTCCAGTTTTTACAGAGAAACGAAGTTCATCTAGCAGATCATCAGCAGTAGATGCAGGATTTCGACCGTAGTCTGATCTCAAATGTGCTCTGGTTGCCACCCACATGAGGCACATACACAGGAAGTGTTTGGCACCTGGAAAAGGGAGTCTTCTTGGGCCTCAGGGTGTTGGCATTGGAAAGCCTTAGAGACTATCAAAGCTTTCCCTCAATTCCAGAGCTGATTATTATCTACTAGGTGAGGATTTAGTAAAAGACCAAGAAGGAGAAATTCCTATGTAAATATTTAAGTAATTGATTATAAGAAGTGAGTGTTTTGCCAGTGGAAAAGAAAACTTGCAAAAAGTTAATATTCCACGTATTAGCATACAACTTTTGACTGAGAGCCCGAAGGGCTGTAACTGCTGCAGAGCACAGTCAACAACATGGAATCCTTGGACACCAGGGTAGGTGGCTGTGCATTAGTCCCATTCACATCTGGAAGGTGGTACCAGCTGTGCTGCAGCTGTTCCTACTGGAGCTCTTTAACTGGACCTTCCTTCTGGTGAGCTTCTGGGTATGCAAGTATCAGGGAAGAGTAGAGGGTGGGAGTTGTGGGCTTCCAAGGACTTTTGTACCCATGGTGTCAAGCTTGCCTACCTGGCTTAGGGCATCTTTGACCATGTTAACTCCACTGCACATGAGGAGACCTGGAGTGGGTTGCTTTGAAGGAGCATTACCCCAGCATCTGCCTTCTCATTCATTCCAAGGCAAGTCTTTCAGACCCATAATTTTCAGGATAACATCACATTTCTTAGCAGGATTTACAAAGTTGTTGGTTATCTGACTCAAGATCCCTCCCTAAGGTCCACACATTTCTCACTGAAGACTACAGAATTGAGTTGATTGTATGTCTTCATTCAAGTCACACTTCCATTTGTATAAGATCCCTCCTCCAAATTATTTATTTTACTTCTATGTTCTCTGTTAGTCAGCTTTCCATTACTGTAACAAAGTCCCTGAGATAATCAACTTGAAAAGAATATTCGTTTTGGAGGTTTCAATCCATGGCCAGTTGGCCCATTACTTGTGGGCCTATAATGAGGCAATACACCATGGTAGGAGCATATGGCAGAGCAAATTGTTCACTTCATGGCTGGGAAGTAAAAGAGATGAGACCAGCATCTAATAACACCCTTTGAGGGCTTGCAACCAGTGACCTAAAACCTCCCTTTAAACCCCACCTTTCAAAGTTTCCAATAGCACAGTTGGGGACCAAACTTTTAACATGGGCCTTTTAACACTCTAGATCCAAATGAGAGCAAGCAGTATTGTCATCTTAACAATATTAATTCTTCTAATCCATTAACAAATGGGGTGTCTTTTCATTTACTTATGTTGTCTTGAATTTCTTCCAGAAATATTTTGTAGTTTTCAATCTTTAAGTCTTTTATCTCTAATTAAATTTATCCCTAAATATTTTATTATATTTTATTTTTTGTTTGTTTTCTTAATTTTCTTTTTTGGAATGTTCATTGTTAGTATATAGCATCTTTGTGATGTGTGTGTGTTGATTTTGTATTGTGCAACTTTGCTGAACCTGTTAATCAGCTCTAAGAGAGAAAGAGGGGAGGGGAGGGCAGGAAAAGAGAGAATGTGTGCATTTGTGTGTAATCTATGTCTAAGATCATGCCATTTGCAAACAGATAATGTTACCTCTTTCTTTCCAATTTGGACTCTCTTTATGTCATTTTCTTGCTTAATTTCTCTGGCTAAAACTTTTGATATTATGAATAGAAGTGGTGAAAGCTGACATCCTTGTTTTGTTCTTGATCTTAGAGGAAAAACTTTTGGTCTTTTCACCACTGGGTGTAATGTTAGCTGTGGGCTTGTCATATATAACCTGGATCATGTTGAAGAAGTTCTTTCCATTCCTAGATATTGAATGTTAAAAAAAAAAAAATCAAGAGGAAAAGGGATACAGCTCAGTTGGTACAGTGCTTGCCTCGAATGCACAAGGCCCTGGGTTCAATCCACAGTAACACACACACACACACACACACACACACACACACACACACACACGAAAAAAATTAAGAAAGAATGTTGAATTTTGTCAGTTTCTTTTTCTTCATCAATTGAGATTTTCATATGATTTTTTCTTTTATACTGTTAATGTGTTATAATGTGTCAATTGATTTTCATATGCTGAATTATCTTTGCAATCTAGGAATAAATCATTGTAAGCATGGCATAAAATCTTTTAATATACTCCCAAATTTGGTTTGCTATCAATACTATTGTTATTACTATTATTGGAGATCTTTGCATCAGTATTTATAAAGATTCTGGTGTGTAGCCTTTTATTCTTGTGGTGTCTTTGTCTGATGTTGGTACCAGGGTAATGCTGATGTAGAATAAGTTAGGAAGTGTTTCTGCTTCTTCAATTTTTTTGAAGAGTTCAAGAAGGATTGGTGTTTATTCTTTTAAGTGTTTGGGAGGAATAATCACAAATGAAGCCATCTGATCTAGGACCTTTCCTGGGAAGCTTTTTAAAAAATTGATTCAAATTTTTTACTAGTTATATAAAGTATAATCAGACTTTCTACTTTTTCATGATCCAATTTTAGTAGATTGCATGTTTCTAGAAATTTGTTTCTTCTAGTTAATATGATTAACACACACAAACTCTT